TATAGGTTTGACGCTGATGGTYGACCCTCACATATTCTTGTGAGTTTACCTAAATTACATTTGCGTTGAGGCAATGTAGAGGTGTGAGTCATTTTAATATACACAGTAACTATTTTTGCTAATTGTATATTTTTTTCAACATGAGGTTTGGGAACATGGAAATTAAATGTTAGCTTAGGAAATTAAACTTAAAGACTATTGAACTCAAATGGGGAGAATAAAATGTAAAGCTGTTATTTTAAGATGGTTGTTAATTTATTCTGAGCTGCATARTTTTTTMGTCTATTCTGTGATCCTAAAGAGTSAGTGACATACCTGTCTGTTGGATYTGTGATTTGTTTSGAGATCCAAGGGGGCGTCCTCTTCTGCGTGGCTCTGGAGTCTCGGCTGAAGGAGATATTGTAAATGATAGTAAGATTTGTTTTTGTGTTCGAYGTTTCTTTTATCTAACCATGACAGCTCATACSTCCATTGCCTGTGTGTTGGGTAGAATGCATTGGCTTACGCATGGCTTGAGGAAGGCTTTGATWTTGGTTGAGGCTTTGTTKTATTTAGATGTGAACCATTGTTGCTTGTTTGGTGGAGACATGGATGAAGACATGGTAAGCAGGAAGGTTAAATTGGTTTCTACTCTTAATCATGGATGTAAAAAAATACGTTGGTAAGAGTGATATACCTACTCTTCGATTTGATGGTGTCGGTAATATGGCTGCTACAACAATGAACAATGGAGAAGATGTATTTTCCAATGTCAAATGTTTTTGTTTGGAAATACTTTTTCGAATTTGTTACGTAGTATCTTATAATGGATGTGCGCTTTGTCGGGATTTTGTTTAATTAGTCWTTWAATGTGAATATTTGGAGAGATTTGGTAATWTAAATTTTAGATTTCTGAGAGTGMTGYAGACGTAATGTTTGTAATTCTCTGAGTGACGACCTAAACCTTTTTGGACAATTTATATGAGTGTATTTAATTGAAGAACAATATATTTTCTGATAGAAATCACCTTTAGTAAAATGTTGAAGATTCCCATAAGAATGGGTGAATATCTGTATCATCTTCTTAGCCGTTGCAAAACTACGCACAAAATCTCAACTTGCAGTGTTTTTTTTTGTCATAGTAACTCTTGAGCTCAACATTATTTGAAATGAGTGAAGATATTGCTTCCAATTGATAAGACCAGTAAAATGTCTTTGAGGCTTCTGATGCATTTGTTGCATTTTGAAAAATGCAGGCTTTGCGTGTTCCTCAACCACCATGACCTTGTATTTACCCGAAGGTTTGTGGGAGTATGAAAGAAGCTCAGGTGCACATGCCATCACTGCCTTACCCACTGTCTACTACTCATGTAAATTTAACCGAATGAACAGAAAAAGATAATTAACTAATTTAGAATGACAAAACTTATTCCAATATACAGGAAGAAGCATAATGATCTACGAATTTATTTTTCATCACCATGGACTTAATTTTAAAGAAAACCGGTCGACAGCATAATAAACTGATAAGCTTCTCATTGATCAAAATAACCAAAAATAAAGCGTCTAGAAACTGAAAGTGGAGAGAAAGGATAACAGAGTCGAAGGCAAGTTTAAACTATAATTAGAAAATGCAAAGTAATTATTAATTCCTTCTCAGATGTGGAGGATTAGGTGGGTTGCGGCGTGGGCGTTTGGGTTTTGTCACTCCAGCATCAACCGCAGTGTTGTTGGTATTCTTGGTTAATTTGGTTGCCTCAGAGGTGACGTTCATGATTTCCTCAAGCCCAGTTGCACTGCTTTGTTCGGCGGCTGTAGTAGGCTTCATGTTGGGCACGTATGTCTTCCKTTCCACTGTAATCGCTGGATCAGTGGCTGGCATATRMTCSTCAGCCTTTTCTTTGAAAATARCCTGATTGGTAGGTTGTTCTGTTTCTTCTACAACCTTCATGATTGAGAGTGTCTTTCTGGTGGCGCGYAAGTCGTACGGGGTTACTTTCACCTCGAACTTATGGGTTTGGCCTATAGAATCAAGCAGACATTGGGGGACCGTGTATTCATTGCCAGGACCCATATCTCCKTTACCCTGCAACGTTYACATTAAATATGTSTATGTTTGCGGCTTATAAGTGTAGAAGAATTTTTATTTCAGAATAACCTGGTGGGAGTTATCGACTATATRAGTGGAGCTYCGCCCGAAGAGTTTGGTTGCGGCATCATCGAGGAGCACAAAGGTGGCTGTGTCATTGTAGTCGTGGGCRGATATTTCCACTCGGTACCTGTGGGTGAGAAATGCATATATGAGATTGTTATTTGGTTGCTTATGGTGAATGGATAGTAAGAGCCCTTACTTAACCACTCCAATAGCGTTTTGGTTTTTGCATATGTTGCACACCAAAGATGTAMCTCCCCGGATTGCTTTTTTGTTGCATCCAGTGCAAGAGATGTAATACCAACCAGAGTCACCTAACACATCAGRAATTGTAGCCACGCAATGGAAGGTCGCCACCTGGGATGGTTCGTGTTTTAGYAATTYGAGAATCTCGGCAATGGTGAGGGTTTCCACCTTTGTGACTTGGGATGTGTTGATACTGACTAAGCTGGTTGCACTGTCGCCAAGCCTGGAACACGTTTGAGGGTAAAACATGTTGGTATGCYTGATATAATTTTTCTGTTAGAACTGAAAATAGGGTTGTAGGTCTGCGTGACAAACCAGGTTAGGTATTCCCTAGTTGGAACAACTTCGGAGTKAAAAAAGACTCTTGAAGGAGACATAGAGGTGAAGCTAACTCCCGCTGGMGAGTACCAGAAATTAGTGAGTTACATAAATAGTAGSATGGRGATGGATATGCYAGAAGGGTATGCTGACCTCCWATTCTCTTAGGGTTCACGGTTGTGACCAGAAGCACGGTAGGGGTCGTGGGGATTGCCTGAAACTTCATGATGAACTCCGATGRAGCGTTGTCCCAAAGGTAAACGTTCACAATGGGGCCTCTGTGTAAGGGGAATATGAAGAGTGTGTTAAGATACGAATATCAGAAGGAGCAATGGTGAGGAATTGAGAAATTGCTTACTCTCGAAGCTGGAGGTGGACTGAGACTCGATCTTTTTGTCCATTACGGTTTTCTGGATTGTTGTTTAGAACAGGAGGTTGGTGGAGGTTTTGACCGTTGATGAGTTTTAGATGACCGATGATATCTGCATATTTAGATGTCTAAAATACTATCATATAGAACTTGATTTGAGATACATATGGAGTCAGCTTCGTAAAGGTAGATATTATGCCTATTGTAGTATACCGAACCACACTCACTACTTTACCACTAAGCAAYCGTATGTGAATATATTGTATCATATATCACTTTGACGTTCTGCTATCATATTAATTTGTACAACTCAATCAAAATGACCCCCATTTATTCGACCCTTGGAATTACAATAAAGCTTCCTACTTCAATATTTGAAACACATTAAAAACATAGAGGAGAGACAGTTGGGAAACTAACAAATTAAAGCGATCTAAATTCCAAAACTCCTCATATTTAGCGGATAGAAACTTAAGAAACTAACAAAGTAAAGCCATTGGAATTACATGCGTTACAAACATTCGTAAGCTGCGCATATTGCTACTTCTAGTTTAGGAACTAACCATATAGATCTCCTCTCCTGTCRGCSTTTGCTTCCAATTCTAGGAATGATTGGAARCTGAATCTCTYGGAGTCTATAGAGTACGGTGTTTGCTGGAGCTCGGTCAAAGCAGTGAGGTCGGTGAAGCAGAGGGTGAACTTGTGGTCTGTAACTCTGAAGATGAGTTTGTTGTCRGTAGCGTAGAAGTTGGTGAGCCTGTAGATGGAGTTTCGCTTAAGGAGTGGCMCGTACCGGAAGATGCGGTTAGGAGAAATGAAACCTTGAATAGCAGTTCCCTGGAGAAGTATCWGATCAGTTACGGGACTTTGTTATAGTTATGATTGGGGAAACATGGAAGAAACTGCACCATACCTGTTCGTCGATGAAAAGTAGCTCGAGGCTGATGAGGAGGCCACCCTTGGTTGGGTTTCGAGCCTCCCAGAAGTGAATGAGCCGGAATACCAAATCCTTGTCGCATAAACCCGATTGAACTTTGTTGAAGGACATGTGGGTTTGGATTTGGGCGACGGCGTTAGAGTTTGGAGAGGCCATGTTTGTTTTAGAATGAGAAGCGGTGTAAAAAGGTGTAAGGGTCGTGTTGTGGGTGAACCTGATGCTATATATAGAAGAGTGGGAGGTGATGTTGATGGTGGAGCCATTATTGTTGGAGTCTTCAATTCGCAAGCGTTTACAGTAGGAGGAGGTGAAGGGTGTTGGAGTTTATGAGCGAATCGATGAGGAAGTTGTGATCTGAGGGGAAGTGAGACGTCTTTTTATGACAAACCAGCGTTGGATCAGAACTGGGAATTTTAGGAAGGCGAAGAGATTTATGGTTACGGTTGTGAAGAAGAGATGATGATGGGTGAACATTGGCCTAAGGTGTGGTCGAACCATGGGCTTCCTCTTTTGGGCTTTTGTGATGGGTTTTGATGATTTCAACATTCGTGTGTGTTAAGAAATGAAGCCTTAGCCGTGCGTTTTGACGTTACAAAGGCAGGTGACATGGCTAAATGATTGGTTGATTATATTGAGCATTATTTTGACCTACGTGGCATCCCTTAGAGGACAGAATTTCTTCTCCTTTTATATAAAGGAGATATTTCAATACACCCTATTATTTCAACCAAAAATACGTTCTTTTTTCTTTTTACTCAACTTTTAATAATTTTATATTTAAAGATACATACAAAATGTCTCCAATGCGGATGCTCGTATATAATGTGGTTTCATGGTCGTGGACCCCACTTCGTTTTAATTTCTTTGTAAGACGATTTATAATTTCCCCCAAATTCTCATACTCTTGACAAGCAACCTTATGGTCTTAGGATTTATCCGATTTCATGGAGTTCACCATTTCCAAATCGGTAAACTCCTCGTAAATCGTCGGCGAAATCATGACCACCGCCGTTGTAGAGCCGCCGATACCGGATTCCATATCGACGTCGGTAATCGAGACGGTGAATGGGTCGCACCAGTTTACAATTAAAGGTTTCTCTCTAGCCAAAGGCATGAGCCCAGGGAAATACATACAGAGCGACGTCTTCTCCGTCGGTGGATACGACTGGTCGATCTACTTCTATCCCGATGGCAAAAACCAAGAGGATAACGCTATGTATGTCTCTCTGTTCATCGCTCTAGCGAGTGATTCTAGTGACATTAGGGCTTTGTTTGAGCTGACTTTAATGGATCAGAGTGGTAAAGGGAAACATAAGGTTCATAGTCACTTTGATCGAGCGCTTGAAGGTGGTCCTTATACTCTCAAGTATAAAGGAAGCATGTGGTAAGCTCTGGTTCTTTTCGTGAATATGATATAGTCACTGTTGAGTTGGAATGTTGAATTCAGGTTTTAGCAATGTTGTTTGTCTTCTGATTGAATTGCATGTTAGTGAGTAGATTAGTTTGTTTTGAAGATTGGTTTCATGTTCGAAGCAGTTTAGCAATTAGGGAACTTTATGCTTGTGTTTGATGAAAATGAAAATGGTCTGAGCAAATTCCCTAGCATGACTTTTCATCACGAATTTCAGGGGATACAAACGCTTTTTCAGACGAACGGCATTAGAGACCTCTGACTACTTAAAGGATGATTGTCTTGTCGTCAATTGTACTGTTGGCGTTGTTAGAGCCCGACTAGAGGGTCCGAAACAGTATGGCATTATGCTATCCCCGTCGCATATGGGTCAGGGATTGAAAGACTTGTTAGATTCTGAAGTTGGTTGTGACATAACATTCCAAGTCGGAGATGAAACATTCAAAGCTCACAAACTGATCCTCGCAGCACGCTCACCTGTTTTTAGAGCTCAGTTCTATGGACCAATTGGGAATAACAATGTGGATAGAATAGTAATAGAGGACATCGAGCCTTCTATCTTTAAGGTAATGTTTGTATAATAGTACATCGTGAATAACATGCAACTACAATTCTGCTGACTTGTGCTCTTGAAATTTTATAGGCTATGCTTAGCTTCATCTACACCGATGTACTTCCTGATGTGCATGAAATTACAGGGTCAACTTCTGCCAGTTCGTTCACAAACATGATACAACATCTCTTGGCAACTGCTGACCTCTATGACCTTGGAAGGTTAATGACATTATGTGAAGTTTTCCTATGTGAAGAACTCAATGTTGATAATGTAGCAACAACACTTGCACTGGCTGAACAACACCAGTTCTTACAGCTGAAAGCCTTTTGCTTAAAATTTGTTGCATCTCCGACAAACTTGGGAGGTATGTGACTGTGTTGCATATAAACTGATCAATGAAAGTTTCAGGTTTTTTCAGTCGCCATTTTATATGCATATATAGACTTTCTTTCCGTAGTTATCAGATCTATTCATGTTTTCTTGCTTCAATTGCAACAGCATTATCATGTGATGAGATAGTAGAATGTATGGGTCCTGCATTGAATTAGTTTCACTATTAATGCGGTAAACTTTGTTTAAAGGGTGCTGCATGGAATTTTTGTCATTAACTTACAACTTGAGTTGTACTTCGATTTTGGAAACCAGTAGTGAGAGTAATTGAAAGAACGTATTTATGAAACTTTATATACATATATCCTCCCGTATATTTTAAAGATTCCAAATGAAATTAAGCCTCTTGTTTTCCTAGTAAGAATGATCATCAGCTTCTGTGTGTTGATACGCGGCGCTTGTTGCAAAAATGATCCATTAAAGATGTTGAGTGTATTACTAATGGAAGTTTTGTGAACTAATCTGTTTTTTCTTGTGTGTATGTTATCTATAGTTTATCTTGCCAGTTTACTGAAATTTAACTTTCTTGTTTTTATGTTCGAGTTGGATATAGGAGACTCGATGCTTGATTAGGCGGGTTGAGGTTTATCATCCTCAATTAGGTGCGATAAATAG